AGGAATGCTTTGTCTCTCCCCAGCCTTCAGCTGAATGAAACAGCCTGGGCTCTTCTAAGCCCTGCCTGGGAAGCACTGCACCTCTGCCTCTGTCAAAGATAATTGGTTTTGCTGCTGCCTGGACTGGCAGGGCCTGGCTGTGTGTCTCCATGGGACCTGAACTGGAAGAGAGCCCAGCCCACCAGGCTCAGCCTCCTGCTTCCAGGGCTGGTGGGAGATGCTGTGTCTTCAGGAGCCAGAGCTGGTGCTGGAGAGAGCCTGGACAAGTAGGCTGCTTCATGTGCAAGGGAGGAAGTTGGCTCTGAGGTTTTTCAAACCACCTTTGAACTACCTTTCACTGTGCATCTCTACTAAACTGAAGCTGGGTTTTGCTGACCCTACTATTATGGGACCAGAGGAAGGCTTGTTTTGCTTCAGTGAGGAGAGCAGCAAGCTGACATAATAATGTACCATCAGCAGTGATTCCTGGGGGAGTTTCCCCAGTGAGGGTCTAACCAAGAAATCCACCTGACTGATCTTTCCTCCTCCTCAGATGCACACAGAGTTGACCCTCCAAATTTAATATATCCCTAGAAGTATAATCCTCTTTGAAGGACAGTGTGAAGTCCAACAAACCTACAGGCTAGGGCTCATCAGCTAAAATGATGGATGTTTCTACCTGGCATCTCCTTCTGTGCTGTTAAATTCTTTAGCTGATGCCAAATGACACTTGAGGAAAACAAATTTTAACCTGCTCCTTGGAACCAAAAGCCCCAGAAGTCAGGATCCTCCCACAGCTGTAACTAGGGGCTGAGCCGACTCTGAATGCAAAAACAGTCTGTGCTGCCAACCGGTCATGACAAGCTGAGATTCCTGAGCACACTCACCACTTTGCTGTCCAGGTAGCAGATTTAAAAGACCCAGATGAACGTGGAACAGACTGACTGACAGCCGTTCTTATGCACTCTCCCCTCAACCCCAGTTTCCCTTTCCAGATGATCCAACTGAACTGGTGTGGTTTCCAAAGGTGAGCAAGACAAAGCTTCCCAGTGTTCAAACATTTTGTGTTGCCTTGGGTAGAATAGAAATGCCAGTTTATCATAGAAGGGAAGACAGATTTTCCTTTAGTGTGAGGGTGGTAAGACACTGGAACAGGCTGCCCAGGAAAGCTGTGGAAGCCCCATCCCTGGAAGTGTTCAAGGCCAGGTTTAATGGGGCTCTGAGCAACCTGCTCTAGTGGGAGGTGTTCCTGCCCATGCAGGGGTGTTGGAACTAGATGAGCTATAAGGTCCCTTCCAACTGAAACCATTATTTGACTCTATGGTGGTCACCATGGACCAGGTATGGTGCTGGGATGTCAGCAGTCCAACAGACAGCATGGGTGGACAATGCAGTGGTCTGCTCAGGAAAGCTATGAGGACCTCTGGCAAGTGAGGCTGGAGCAGTGTTGTCTCCCACGCCAAGTCTGAGGCATGTGAAAGGTGGGGATGGATGCAGTCCAAACTCTGATTAAACAGCAATCCCATCTGTGTGGGGCTGGATTCACGTTTTTACCAAGTCCTTGATCTATCATAACTGGCTCGTCCAGGGGTGACTGATGGCCAGTAAATATTTAACCTTGGACTGTTTTGTAACACAGAGTGGCCTCCTCAGTTTAATGAATTTCACTGTTTTCTTACCATTGAATATTAACAGCATAGAGGAGCGCAAAGGCCTCTACCCAACAGAGGAAGGATATTGCACAAAGTTAAGCATTCTGAAGTTGAGGGCATTATCAGCACATATATATGTTGGAGCTGCATGGGAAAACCAAGTCCTAACAGTGCACAAAGATGTCATTGCTCAAACATTTTTGCTGGGCTGGGATGCCCCTCACTCCTCTCATACTTGTGGTGTTTCACACACATTCTCCTTGTCTGTGCTGAGCTTCTGCTTGCTTCATCACTCTCCTCGCTGCAATCACTAAGAGTGACCTCCCCCCCTTTGCAGTTTCTCCATAGAATCACAAAAGCATCAAGGTTGGAAAAGACCTTCGAGATCATCAAGTCCAACCACCCACCCTACAATCCCTAACCATTAAATCATCACATTTACCCCCTTTTTTGAACACCTCCATGAAAGATGCCCCCACCACCTCCTTGGGCAGCCTGTTTCAATGCCTCACTGCTCTTTCTGTGAAGAATTTTTTCCTAATATCCAATCTGAACCTCCCCTGGTGCAACTTGACCCCATTTTGTTTTGTCCTATCACTGGTCACCAGGAAGAAGAGGCCAACACTCACCTTACTACAACATCCTCTCAGGCAGTTGTAGAGAGCAATGAGGTCTCCCCTCAGCCTCCTTTTCTCCAGGCTGAAAAGCCCCAGCTCCCTCAGCCTCTCCTCATAAGGCTGATTCTCAAGACCCCTACTTAGCCTAGCTGTCCTTCTCTGCACCCTGTCCAGCACCTCAATGTCCTTCTATGTCCAGTTTCTAGTGCCATCACCCAAAAAACCCAATGCACCCTGAGGAAGGAGCTGGCAACAACAGGGCTTTGGTCCCTCCCTGTCATTTGAGTCCATCATTGGACTTGATGATCTCAGAGGTCTTTTCCAGCCTCAGTAATTGATTCTGTGATTTCCATGGAAAGCAATTCCCACCTGATGAGTGTCTTGGACAAGGCTTTCCCCCAGCTTATGTCTACAGGCTTGGTGAGCAGCACGTGGAGGGCAGATAACACACCTGGTGTTGCTCTCCAGCCAGGCTGCACTGCCTGGCACGCAGCTGGGCTGCGTGAAGCCCCAGTCCCTCCCACCCCTCTTCCCCAGCCCAGCTCTCACCTGATGTTGCTTTACACATCTGAGGCATTCTCGTGACCCGGCTGTGTGCCACAAAGGTGCTTTGAGAAGATGTGCTGTACTGGGAGCTGCTGTCCGAGGAGGTGGAGCTGGTGTGCGAGAGGCGGCTGTGCTCCTTGTGGGAGGCCGTGGAGCGCTGGTACCAGAGCCGCAGCTCGTCCGACACCGCAGTCCTACCCGAGCCTTTCTCATGCCCTTCCCTGCCCAGAGAGGGAGTCCTTATGATTTGGGAGCGGGAGGGGGTAAGCCTGACTGAGTCCACTTCATCCCCGTGCCAGTTCTCCTTAAACATCCCCCCTGCTGTGTAGGAGTTGGAGGTTTTGAATTGTGCTTTCACGCTGTAGTGTCCCTCCTGGTCGTTCTCCAGGCTCCTCACCACCACGGGTGTGGAGCTGCCCTCGATGTACAGGGGATACTCTTTGATCCTATACTGGGAGGAGGGTTGGCTCTGGCTGTGCAGGTAAACACGGTGGTGCCCTGTCCCATTCCTTGCAGCCAGGTTGGGCATGCTCCCTGAATTGGAAGAGACCAGGTTGCCCGCCGATTTGTGCCTCTGCCTTTGCCGCTCTCTGGCTTTTGATGGGGAATCCTCTGCCAAGGTGGAGTAGTTGGGGTTCATCTGAGCAGGGTAGTAGTGCTCAGAGCTGGAATGGCTGGTGCAGGAAGAGCAGTCGTCCATGGGGTCAGAGCCATTACTGCTACGAGTCCTTGGCGTGTAGAAATCAGGGCTCCCTGTCTCGTTTTCTGAGCCGAGGAGCTTGCCTTGCGACTCCAAACTGGAGCTCCGGTGCCTAAAGTGCTGAGCTAAGCTATGCAGTCTGGTCGGGCTGATGTCTACTGACCTGCAGATACCAGGAGAAAAATCCAAGTGGGTAAGTCAATGGGACGAAGATCTCCCCATCCCCTTCTGCACACAAGGCCAGCTTCACAGGCCAGGGAATCCGAGGGCGCTGAAAACCCGGACCCCTCCAGCGCTGCCTGGGGCTGCTGGCTGCACAGCAACCTGCTTCCCCATTGCAGGGCTTGGGAGTAGGAGGTCCTAACCCTGTTCCTCTCCATTCTCCTTGGTGGTGACATTCAGTCTGCAGCACCATGTGGGATGTAAACCCTCTCCAGCCTGATTCCTCTGTGTCTTGCCACCCGGGGAAAGACTCATTCTGAAGGGCAAAACCTGGGGAGATCAAGCTCCAGCTTTGCTGGTGTGGTCCCGTGGCAGAGCTGCTTGAATCAGCACCATCCCTGTGCTACGAGGTTCACCTTGCTCCAGGTCTGCAAATCACGAGACCTTAGCCTCCAAGGTGGTGGGATTCCCTTGAAAGTGGCCTAAGAATGCCCTGCACAGGTACAATCCCTTTGGTGTGAGACAGATAGACTGTCCAAACTTAGTTCAGAATGCAGTGATTTCTCCACTCGCTGTTGAAAAAGCCACCTTTGCGAAGCAGCTACATTTTACCAGGGCCCAGCAGTGGGTATCATGTGTAGAACTGTCAGCAGGTGACAGACAGCTCTTCAGGCAACCACCCTGAACTGGAAGTTTACAAGGCTTGATTCCCAGGCAGCTCTGGGTGGTCTCTATTCACCTCAGCTGTTTGGAGAGCTCCAGCCATCCATACAAGAGGCAGGAACACCCCACAATGAGTCACACACCCGCCTGATGGGTGCCAAGGCCAGGGCATGCAGCTCATGAATGAGCCACAGATGGAGCAATGGTTGTTTCAAACACCCAAATGGCCCCTACCCGGTCAAGGCCACTTCTCTTTCTGTGCCAGGCTCATTTCTCACGCAGCTCTGCCCCAGTGTTAACAAAAATCATGCTCTAGAGAGATACTCTCAGCCAAAAACTTGTAACAAACTTAACCCAGGGCCTTAATGCCTTGTATTGTCTCTTCCTGAACCTAATGTGTTGGCATGATTCTTGATTTATGTCGAGCTAAATGATGTTAGCACTACCCCTTAGGGCAGGATACCTAACAGCACACAGCTTTGGCTCAGCTTTGCTTCCTGCAGTGTCCATGAGTTTCCCACAAGCACAAAAAAGCAATGAAGCTGAACAGTTTCTAGAAGTGCTGCTGAAAACTGGAGTAAAATTGGGCCATGTACATCAAATCACCTCCCTTACACGCTTCAGCTCTTTCCTCTGTCAACCCTGGGCTTATTCCACTGCCACCTGGATCCTCAGGTGTATTGTTTTATACAGGCTCTTTCTTTGCAGAAGATCCCACACGTGCAAACATTTTACCTATGAGAAAGAATGAACACTACCCAACATTTTGTATCAGACAGGAAACAACATGTTATCTCCAGCTGGATCTGTGGAGGAATTTACTGCAGAAATTTAGCAATAGCACCACATCCCTTCTAAAAGTGGTGTGGGGTTTGTAGTACCTATAGACAGTCCCTGAGATGAAAGGTCCCAGCAGAAGAAAGGCTTGACTACTTTGAGGGGGAAATGAGGGGCAGGATAACATTTATCTGAAGTAACTTCAGGATCTCAGCCTGGGAAAGATTTCCTGCTGGCAACAGTACTTAAGCCTCTGATCTGAAAAGGACTGGTTTTTGTCCTTTCCTGAACTGGGGATTAATTCATATCCTGGGGGAAGGAGAAAGCAAAGGATATTTATGTCAGGGTAAGCAAGGTGAGACTGTTGTGGAGCCAGGACTTACCGCGTGGAGTGGACATAGTGCGGACTGCGTACCCGTAGATCCGGCGTCGATGGCATACTGGACTGGGAATTCCAGTGGGGAAGGCTCCGGATGGGGCTGTTCTGCAGTGAGCTGCTCCCTCCCGCCTCGGCACAGCTCCCGGTGCTGGGGAACCTCTTGTGACTGCTGCAGAGCAAACACCCTGCTTCAATTTCTGGACAGGAATTCGGGGAGGGGGCTCCCATGCCTCTTCCCAGATCCCCCATATGCCTGTGATGGCGTGGGGGGGAGTGGGAGCTGGGTCAGCTGCTGATCTGAGCTGCGTCCCAGAGCCTGTGCTGCAGTAGCTGGAGGTCAAGGCCAAGCTCTGTCAAAAGCCCTCAGATGAACCACCATCCTTCCTTCCTACATGTTTTAAAATAGCACTGAGATACCAAGCAGCAGTCACGTGGCTGCAGCCTACTTTTATGACGTGCCTGTTGGCCAAAACATCTAGAAGTCTCCTTCTGGCAATGGACAGCTTGGTACATTTTGCAAGGGCTCACACCTGTCCCTCCTGAAAGCAGAGGATACCTCTGTGATGGTGCTTCAAGACTGCTGGCTCACCTGGAATGACTATGTGAGGAGCGTTTCTTGACCTTCTCATAGGGTTCATCCAAGGAGGACTCGCTCCACATCTTGGGCTTGATGGGGGACTTGTCGTAGTCATTGCGGTGGTAATGGAGCTGGCGCAGGCCTTCCAGGGACTGCGGGGGAGGAGGCCTGTTGTGCAAGGGTGGCCGGGGAGGGAGTCCTTTGTGTGGGGACTGCAGAGGGGATATTGTGCTGGTGACCTGAGAATCCTCTGTGAAGAGAAGGGAAGAGAGGTGTTGGTTGTCTGACACCTCCCATGGCAGCACAGCCCCAGAGGACACCTCCAGAGGCTCCTCCCTTACCCCGCTTGCCCTGGTTGTGTTCAGAAGCAACTTGAAGACCTGACTTTCAGAAATGTACTGGCTGATATTCCCACTGGGGAAGGAGAGGGAAAGCCCAGTGAGAGTGTATGATGCATTAAAACAATGGAAACCTTAAAAGAAAATAAAGGGACATTCTGGGACTGTCTTTTGAAAGAATTCAGAGCAGCAGCCATGGCAATACTCACTGCTCCAGGCCTGGTGACTGACTACAAGGCAGAGCCAGGGGAAACCAAGTGGTTTTGGTACTGGAAAATTTGAGTCTATTATTACACAGAACAGTTCCTCCATTTTGAGTGTCCATCTGGAGTTCACACATACCTCCCAGTTTCCTTTCTGCCCCCTAGAACATACAGAAACCAACCTACCATCCTCGAGAACAAGGGCATCTGAGAGGGAGCTGTCTTCGCTGGCAATGTTTCCTTCTGAGGGGAAGAAAATAAAGATGGTCAGATGGTCCTGAGAATGGCAGTGACTAAATGCTGAATTGCACAGTGTTCTTCTTCCATCACCCACGTCTTCCTCCTTGCGTAGCCATGAGGCAAGAAGAACAACTGACTCAGCCCACTCAGTCTGGTAGGGCAGAGCTGCAGGCCAGGTCTCTCACTAGCAGGCTGCCTTTCAAGGAGCTGCTAAGTCTTTTCCATTAATGGGGATTAAGACTGAGTCACAACAGAGAGCTGAGATCCCCAGAGAATGCAAAATGGCTCAGTGCCATTAGTGAGATCTCTATCTCAGGTCTTCAGGACCCTGGGTTTGATCTCTGCCTTCCTAAAACTATCATGCTGTTGCTAACTCAAGACCCACATTAGGTACCACTTTTTTCAGTATTCTGAACATCCTTGGTAGCAGCAGAAGCTCTCACATTCTTGGTGTGCACACGTTTGAACTGCCTCCCCCATCCTGGCTCCTCATGGCTGTCTGTTACCCCTGACTGCTGTGCAACTTCGTACCCAGGTCCAATTTGGTACTCAGGTCACTAATACAGCAGCTCTAATCTCAGTTCCCACTACAAAGGCACAGAGAAAAGCACTGCAAGTCAAAAGGGAAAGGGCAAAACCAGCAAGGAAGAAACAACCACAGTATAAAGTTAATGGATTTCATGAAAAACCAATCAACAACCCAGTAAACCATAAAGTGCCCTGAGAATTTAATTTAAAAAAAATAGAAAAGAAAAAAAAACCACATTTGAACACAGCAATGACACAGCTACCACTCTGATTTTACGGATGCTTTTCAGCTGGAGAGCTCACCCCAATCTGCTAAAATTAATTACATTTGTCCAGCACCGCTCCAGAGGAGATGTTAACAGCGATTTTATAGGTGAACAAAGGAGTCACAGTCTGCTTCCCTGACACCCTTGTCATCTACAGCATGACACTGGTTCTCATGCCATGAACCAGCACGTCCCTAATGCCCCAGACACCCGTGTGACAGCTGGCTGATGCAGCAGAGGACAGCTCGACTGCCAGCATCTGTGGAGCCCTCAGACAGGAGAGGCAAGAGGAGGGAGGAGGAATCTGTGCCCTAAGCCGCGAATTGAAAGCAAGAATTTTGCTCCTTGTCCTCTACAGACCCTTCAGCAACACCATGGGTGCTGAGCCCCGCTCGCTCACTCACCATCTATGATCAGGGAGGCTCTCTGGGTTGGCTTCTTCCCAGACTTGATGCGATACTCATTGATGGCATTCTCGATCTCTTGCAGCTTCTTCAGTGCGTTCAGGTAGGACGTCTTCCTCTGCTTCTTCAGCTTTTTGCTGACGTTCGGGTCGCTCGCCAGGCGCCGGGCGGCCTCTGTGATCTGGGACTGGATGGCAAACTCCCTCTCCAGGCGCTCCAGCTCTGCCTCCTGGGGAAGGGCAAGGGGATTCTGGCTACCATCATACCAACCCACTGGTGGGGAAGCTCCCCTTGAACCTGTCCAGCGGCCTCCAACCAAGGCTCTCCATCAGCAAAGCATCGACAGTCATGCTGCTCCCTCCATCTCAAGGCCTCCCTAAGCATAACCCATCTCGCCTTCATCTGCTCACACAACTGCCTGGGAGCACAGCTGGTGGAAAGGATGACCCGCACTAGGAGGACGTGTGTGCTCCAGCTCTGACCCTGCTGTGCAGCTTGGATCTTCATGCAGTTCGATATGGCCTCATTCAGTGGTGCTCTGCACATCTATCCTTTCACATCCATCTTATGGGTAACATCTGTCTCCCACCCACTTCTTCTCCCTGCTTCCCATCTCCATATTTGAGTCCCACTTGATATCAGTGCTATGCTCCAGCTTTAACCTTCCTGACAGGTTTGCCTGGCACCCACCAAGCTGAAGATGGGCTAACTCCTCCCCGGGGTATGGCTGTCAAAATCCAGGGGAGAGTATGACCTGAAGTCATCATGGGCTGCTACAATTGATTACACCAGAAAATGGTCTCCTAGAGTTACAAGCCAGGAAGGTGATATCAGAGCGAGCAGTAGGTAACAGCAAGCTTTCTGTATGCCAAAAAGGAACAGTGTTTCCAACAGTAGTCCTTGCAGGGTCACAGTTGAGTTTTTAAATGCAACCAGGTGTACCCTGGAAGCTTCCTACTGATTTTTAGTTATCCTCCACAGTTAAGGGATTTAGGCCAATTTATGCCAGGGCAGAAGCTGATAAAGAGCTATGAAGTACTTACTAATCTGCAATGGATCTGGCTACCTTCCCCAGCTTGATGGAGTTTTTGCTGTTAGTCTGCTAGGAAGGGGAATACATTACACTGCAAATTAGGGAAAAAATTCCAAGCTTTGCTACTTCTAGTGAATGTTGGGAGTTCAGACTGCAAGCACTGACAGCCAGAGCTTCACGGAGATCCCCGTTACACAAATTTACATCCTTTCTCTTTTTTTTTAGCAGCAGTGAACTTTGCAAGAGCTAATGCTGTGGGAATTAATCAGACTGAAATCATCCTCTGAAGTTTTTATTCTGGGCTTCTGGCTTAAAAAAAAAATCCCTTTGCTGTCAGTGGTGAGTCAGCATTGCCTTAAATCTATTATTTCCCTCTCTTTACTGGAGACTGAACCCAATCCCCATCTTTTTAACAGATCTTTTTTTGCTTTGAAGAGTTTGTAAGTTCTATCAGTGCCCAAGTTATTCAAAGTGAATTTGACATGATGGAGTTTTAAGACCTGGAACATGGTTGATTGCCTTCTGGCAAAATCCTTCCCAGAGTCAGGAATTACGGACCATGTACAGGTGATTACAAAAAATTACAATAGGACCCTTCCCTGCAAGTCTTGCTCTGACAAAGCTCCTACTAAATGTACAGAGTGTTTGACGTGAGCTGTCATTCAGACCTTCAGAGAGTCAGTTCTAAATCATTCAGTATATCTAAAAAAAATATAATTAATTTTCCTTCTGGCCATTATTGCCTATTTTCTTCCAGTGAGACCGCTATAAATAAAGCCTCAGAAAATGAAGGTTACCACCTGCCTTCAGATGGAAGTGTTTTGCTTCAGGTCCTTGTCACAGTTGGTAATATCAGTTCTGGATTTATGTGACCAAGGGAGTATTTCACCTTTTGTTTTAAATTATGTTTCTAGTGTTTGCACTGCTGAAAAGCACATGAAAATCATTGTTGGCCTCTCTAAATGCTCTCAAACTGGGAGCCAAATAAACACAGCTCAACATCAGTCTTCAAGAACAGAAATATATGGTTTTCAACACGGTCTTAAAAGTTTGACAGATGAAAAGGGAGGTAGAGAAAAGCTGAGTCAGCATGTTTGGATTGCTGATGCCAAAAGGCAGAGTGCCTGCAATGGGGAGGAGCTGCTTTACCTTCATGCTCTCCCCACCTAACCCTGCCACTGGAGCAAGGAGATTCCTCACCCGCTGGCCCCAAAAGCTGCCTTGTAGCAAATCTAGGGAAGCTGGAGATCAGGTTATAACAGCCAACAGACTGCAGGGGTTTTAGGAATAACTCAGCTAAGCTGTGCTTCCCTTTGAAAAGCTTAATTAAATGTGCTAGTTCATGAATATTTGACTTCAGTGGAATTCCTCTCCCAGGCTCCATTGAGAACAAAACTAAAGAGCTCCAGCTGTTTATTTTTTCAGCCGAAGGAAAGTGCCAACAAAATGACAAACAGTTAATTCCCTGGCTGAATGGAGCCTTAAACCACACAGTCACACCAGCTTCAGTCTCCCCTCTTACAAAAATAAAAAAGAAAACTCAAGACAGGAATATACACAAGTGTCTTGAGACAAATGTGTCTCTGCAGACAATAGCTTTTCTGTGAATCCGGTCCCGCCTTACAGCTGCTGCAGGCCTGTTTTCACAGCCACGGTTCAGGGCACTGACCCAGCACATTGTGGGAGCAAGGGAAGAGAACAAACACTCCCTGGCAAACTTAGAAAAACATAATTCCAGCTCCCCACAGGTAGGGACGAAGGCTCTTTTATTTAAGGACTGGGGAGTAAAATGCTTTCATCTTGCTGTTGAGGGGCCGAGATTGGTAATTGTGATGCTTTTCTCCCCGTTATGGGAGATGTGAATTCGGGTTGCTAGTGAAGAGGAAAGCAAGAGGCTGTTTGCACCACCGCCCCAGGGCAGCAGCAGAGGTCAGGTGGCTCACGGGGCTCCTGTTGTGCTCCCTACCCACACAAGTCACTGAGCTGGGTCACCAGAGCGCCTGGCCTGTCATGCTCCAGTTGGTCACCCGGGCTATTTCTGTTACCTCCAGCAAAGCCAGAGCTGAACTTTGAGGGTTTAACCTTTACTCCCAGTCTGAACTAAGAACACCAGCTCTCTTGCTGCTTCCCTGTTCTGGTGGATATTTAAAAAAAAAAAAAAAAAAGCAAGACAGGAATATACACAAGTGTCTTGAGACAAATGTGTCTCTGCAGACAATAGCTTTTCTGTGAATCCGGTCCCGCCTTACAGCTGCTGCAGGCCTGTTTTCACAGCCACGGTTCAGGGCACTGACCCAGCACATTGTGGGAGCAAGGGAAGAGAACAAACACTCCCTGGCAAACTTAGAAAAACATAATTCCAGCTCCCCACAGGTAGGGACGAAGGCTCTTTTATTTAAGGACTGGGGAGTAAAATGCTTTCATCTTGCTGTTGAGGGGCCGAGATTGGTAATTGTGATGCTTTTCTCCCCGTTATGGGAGATGTGAATTCGGGTTGCTAGTGAAGAGGAAAGCAAGAGGCTGTTTGCACCACCGCCCCAGGGCAGCAGCAGAGGTCAGGTGGCTCACGGGGCTCCTGTTGTGCTCCCTACCCACACAAGTCACTGAGCTGGGTCACCAGAGCGCCTGGCCTGTCATGCTCCAGTTGGTCACCCGGGCTATTTCTGTTACCTCCAGCAAAGCCAGAGCTGAACTTTGAGGGTTTAACCTTTACTCCCAGTCTGAACTAAGAACACCAGCTCTCTTGCTGCTTCCCTGTTCTGGTGGATATTTAAAAAAAAAAAAAAAAAAGAAAAAGGCACTGTGATCAACTGCAGTCATTGAAAGCAAAAAATGCCTGCAAGACTGATGGTTCCTCTGCGATGCACACCAGACATCTTAGAGACCCGAGGTGGGGACAAGGGTTTGGAAGGGAAGGTCAGAATCTTACCTCCCCCTTAGGTAGGATTTTCTGCTCATCCAGTTTAAAGGCAGTTCCTATTCTTCTCCTTACAATAGGCGGCTCCTCCCCGGGATCCAGGGGGTATTCCCGTGGCAGTTTTCCTGTGAGCTCCTGTAAGCAGAACACGCTGTTAGTCATCTGGGAAGTTCTGCAGCAGAGCAGAGCACAACACCGCTCTT